TACTGTTTGCCATTGGTGAGCTGGAAGTCTGTCTTTGTGTCTTGCTTAAGTGTTTTCTCATTTTTATTTTTGTTGTTGGGTTGTCCTGGGTTTCATTTCTAGGTTATTACTTAAATCTTCCTGATATAGTTGCGTTTTAGCTTTTGAGTTTCTAATGACTCATAGACATCCTCATTTTCATAATATCAGAGAAAACAACTCATTAAATCAATCACAATCCTTTATCCCAATTGATACATTCAGCAGCCCAATAGGATCAAGCACAGCTTGCAAATTGACCACTTGTGGTAGTCATTAATCTATCACCTTTAAACCATGTGAATTAAATTAATATCAAGAAGCAGCCCAAAATATGTTTGCAATGAATACACTTTTCAATATAGCATCTTTATCATTTAGGATAGGGGCTTAGATTGAGTTAGGATGAGAGGAGTAGATAAGTGAAAGAATTGGAGAAGGTTTCAAGTGAAGCCAGAGGATGTAGAATGACCATACTATCTTTATGAAACTATTAACTTCAAAGGAGATAGACAGAGTGCAGGAATAAGGACAAGAATATATCCCCATAACGGTAACAGGGGCTCGCCTTCCCTTGAAGCTATGGAGCCTGAGTGAGGTAAAATGACAGGAGAAAAGAACATAAAGAAAAAATGATAAAATAAGTCTGAGTTAGGGCAGGAGCAGGAATAAAAAGGGAGAGGAGAGATAATGTGGTGGAGCAAGAGACTGAGTTGGAGAGAGAGGACAGAAAAAAGAAAGAAATTGTAGGGTGGAATGAGGAAAAGAAAAAAAAAAGAATTTGAAGGGCCTCTTTCAGACTATGTCTCTGTTGTCATAATATACCACGTGTACAGCCATATACAGAACCAAGTCTCCTGATCTCAGCTAGCCAATGGCAGGTCCCCACCACTCAGACTGACCTCAGTCCACAAGGCCCAAATTGAGTTTCCCAACCCGCAGTGTTGAACACCACTCAATTCTATTACAGGCTTCCCCTGCCCTTTCTTTAAAGGTGTTGAAAGTTGGGAACTCGGAAAAATACCCTTCATGACCACCTATGCCTCTGCAGAGTGGGTCCAAGGACTGGCCCAATCAGGAGGTTTGAGAATGGGGGGTGGGGGGTGGTCAGGTTGTGGGGGTGTTTCAAGGGTGCCTGCACAGCTACCTTCCTTACTGGATCTGGTGGCATGAAGTCAGGGAGGTCGTGGACCCGCCAGGTGGGCCCAAGCAGGCAGCCGGAGAGACCTCCTCTCATTTTTTATTTTAAGGCATGACTGTCCTACATTTTGGCTTGCCTGGGCCACACTGTGTGAAGAATAGTCTTGGGCCACATATAAAATGGAATAT